AACCCTTTTCCCTCCCACGTGAAGGATCAAGTATACGCATTTCCTCTGACTGCTCACAACTCTCCTTGGTTAGATTATAATCAACATTTTCTTTACTTGGATTATTATTCTCCATAAATCTTTGAGTTTTATCTCACATCATCTGAACATATTTTTTGTCACATTCTTTCCCTCAACTGTCATAACTAAGTGATCTATAGCACGACATGACTGTTTAACCAAGGTATTTCTTTCTACTGTCAGTGATGATTTCTTATTTGTAGATGAATCACCAAGCTCAAAGACTATGTTTCTATCTTTTGCATATTTACTCAATCTATCTAAAATATAACAAATATGAAGAACTTTAAATGCATGTCGACATAACCACCATGTTAACTCAAATGTCATACAAGAACAACCAACATTGCAATTAAATAAGTCAAACTTTGTGATGTAATGTTTACCATGGAAGTCCTGAAATACTCGATAAGTATAAAGTGTATCAACATTACACAGTTGCTCCAAATGCACTTTTAAACTAGAAAGGAACTCTTTTTCAAATAGATAGTATGTAGTAATTGTGTATACACTAGCAGCTTGTGTCAAAATTGCATTACTTATTAATTTTGGCTGCACTTGGCCATGCTTGGAACGAAACGCATTTTCTCACACTGTTCTTCATAGCGTTGCACAAATTCCCTTAAGGTCAAAGTTTTAGTTGATATCATATGCAACACATTATTTATACTCTCACTTATTTGAGTAGATTTTGCATGAAGAGTGAGAGTATTCATGCTAAAGGTCAGGCACCACTTTTCCCTAAGTTCATAAAGGAACTTGAGTCACACATTGTTTTCGAGATCAAACCTTGATATCATGTCACTCCAAGTAGATTCAAAGTCATCCATGCTTTCACAATGTAAACATTTATTGAAGAACCCTTAAACTCATTATTCGCATACAAGCTTCCTATTCTTTGAGTAACTTCTTTGGAAATGTGCCACAAACAAAGGCGATGACAAGTATCAGGAAAAACCTTCTTTATGGCATTTGTCATTGCTTGACATTGGTCTGTAAATATTATCTTTGGTGCTCGATTCTCCATTGCTTCCAAAAATGTTTCAAACAACCAAACAAATAACTCAATGGTTTTATTTAAAAGAAAGGAACAACCAAATAAAATATTTTTCCGATGATGGTTGACTCCAACAAATGGTGCAAAAATCATGTTGTACTTATTTGTTCGATATGTTGTGTCAAAAATCACCACATCCCCAAAATAATCATAATCTACTTTTGATCGCCCATCTCTCCAAAAAAAATTTGCCAAGCGACCTTTGTCGTCTAATTCTTCACTATGAAAAAATATATGGTCATTGGCTCAACAATTCTTAAAGTGATCAATCACACTTTGAGCATCTTCTTTATCAATTAATTTTTGCTTCTTTTTATTAATGAAATTGCGACAATCTCTTTGAGTGAACCCTACTTTTTTAGGACTACCCACTTCTTTTGAGAGATATGAAAATGTTTTTGTTCCCCTTATACCTGCATCAACCATGGAGTTGATAACACTTGCATTACCAACATCTATTTTTCTATTTATTTTCAGAAAATGCCTCTCTTTAGGATCTACAAATTCATGATTATGGTCATCATTGAAATGAGTTACCTCCCATACCCCATTTGTAATGGTAAATCTAAGTAGCACTGCATCTTATTTTCCTCACCAATTTTCTAATTTTTTTCAATTCAAAATAGTTACCATCATAATGTCTGGCATTTGCACACAAGTATTCCCTTTGCCTAATCGCCCAATCATTACCTTTCCGAATATTTCATTTCTGAACATTGAAACCCTTTCTTAAAGTATGCTGACAATACAACCTGTATGCTTCATCTTCACTCAATACTTTCATTCCAATTCGAATTTTATCAACATTTTCACTCATTTCATCTTCCATTAAATCTAATGTTTTCACATAATTAAAATAAAAACGAAAACACAAGTTAAATAAAAGAAAATAAAACAGTTCACAAATCAGGAAAAATGGGCATAAATATAAGTGTGTGTGTATATATATATATCCTTACCGGAGAAGCAGAGAAGTAGCCGGAGAGGTACCACAAATGGTGAACAGGTTTGACAGGGACAAAAATATTGAGAGAAAAAAGAAGATCTGAAAAAGTTCAAAAACCATGAGAATGTCAGCTTTAAGAGAAAAGGTTTGAAATTACGACTCAAATTTGAAGAAAGAGAAGTGTTAGATTTGGGTGGAAAGATGAAATTTTTGGCTACAAAAGAGCCGCCATTTTTGTTTGGGTTTAGCAGGAATCTAACGTGGTGATCTTAATACAGCTGTGCAAAAAACTCAAATCTATTGGCTTGTGATGCCATGTCAGCAAAGTGATATGGAACAACTGTTACTGCCAATAATTTCTCGTAGATTAGGTTGTTCATCTAAAACATTTAGGATGGATTCTTTCCGCAAAAAGTATTCACCTTTCTATTTTTGAATGCCTTAAATGTATTATTTTTTATAATATTCCTAACTGTTACCCTCCTTATCTTAAAATTATAAAAATATGTGGACCACCATAAAAGAGTATTTTTAAAAATTCATTCCCAATCATTATAATAAAATAATATTAAAAATTGCATTTTTAATAAATCGGATTTTAATAGACATTTTTTACTGCACGGGACTCCCGTGATTTGAAAAATTACAGTTGAATCATCTAATGATTATTGTTTTATATCACTAGCACTCCAAACGTAATAAAAGTGCTAGATTTACCATATAGCCCTCATTTGTTATTAATTAGGTATTGTCTTATTACTCAATTGAGTGCTTAAATGCGTTATGAAAAGTGATTGAAAATTCGAAAAGATATAAAAAAATTATTTTTTAATTATTACTTAAAATTTTTGACACTTAAAATTCAATTGTTAAAGTTTTCAGTACTTAATTTTAAGTTTTATCAAACACCTGGTCAACAAAAATGTAAAAAGACTAAAAAGCCCATTAAAGATAGGGATGGCAACGGTGGCAAGTTTGGGCTGGTGTACCCTCCCCCGCCCCTGCAACTGTTTAAAAACCCCGTCCTCGTTCCCGACCAAAACGTCAAAAAGGGGAAAATTTTCCACCCCATTTCCGTACCCGTTTAACATTTTTACCTCCACGAGTACTAGTCCCGTCCCGTTTAAGACCATAATTTAATTATTATTGAAATGAATTTGCTCTTTTTTTTTTCTTTTTTCTTTTTTCTTTTCCTCATCTTCAATTCTTCACCATTGCAACTTTCTTTTTAATAAAATTCATTTGTCACTTTAATATTATTATATAGGGTACTTAATATATAGTGGGAAATATATATACTAGTGAAATAAGGGTACTTAAGTAATTTGTCTATCTAAACGGAGCTGGGCGGTGCGGGGCGACCTCCCACCGTCCCCGCATCAAACCTATGCGAGTTTTTATTGTATCAAACCATCCCCGCTCAAATAAACAAAACGGTCCTTAAAAATCGTCAAAAACGGGACAGGGTGGGACAGGTAACCACGGGAGCGGGTCAAATTGCCATCCCTAATTAAAGAAGACCCTATTTTCTTCAATGCACCATTCTAAAACCATAAATATGGATATTTATATAGAAAGACCGTATTCGCACTTCTGTTTTTTACACTCGCATTCCACCTATGTTTTTTCTTCTAAATAAAATGACTAAAAGAATCCTAAGCCCATTAATGCACCATTTATTTTTTTAATATTCCATTACAATCATTATTTATACTATAAAGTTTATTTATTTTTTTACTTTCTTTATTTTCTTCAGTATTTTTTTATCCTGTCAAAAGACATAATTTATTCTATGTAATATAACTCTTCTTTTTATTTTGTTCTTTAATAGAGAGATTATTTATTATTATTATTATTATTATTATGTCAAAAGAAAAGTTCTATTCAATTGAGATAATCCCACTTCTTCTTCTTCTTCTTCTTCTTTTTTTTTTTGGTTACTGTCAAATAAGATGATTTATTTATAATTTTTTTTTTTGGGCTGTCAAAGAGACCGAAAGTAATGATAGATGGGAGAGGATGGGAAATCAATCTGTCTAAAAGATAATTGTGTAATTTGAAAATAAATAATTATTCACTTAAGAAGTTAAATTAAAAATGTCATTTTTTTTTAGATTATAGTTCCAAAAGTAGCCAAATCCCCAATCCTTCAAACATATAGCACTAAACATACCCAAACCCACTGCATTTATGCGTATGGTGATTGTATTTTTTTCGACCACAACGGAAACAAAAGAAGATCGAATTGAGAAAACAAAACTAGACAGTCTTCTAGAAGTCATGCACAAAGAAGAATAGAGACTATTATATGAATGGAGAAAATTCCATTGTAACACAATTTTTAACATGCGCTTTGACCGTACGATGATGTGACAAAATTTGAATCACATGACTGAAGTTTGAATAGATAAATTTTATACTAAATCACGATATAAATCTCAATATTTCGTTTTAAAATAAAATTTAAGCTTTTATTAACAATTATAATATGATATTATTGTTAAAAAAATGATATTATTATTAAAAAAAATACATTTTTATGTTCAAAATTTATTAAAAATGCATTCTAAAATAGAATATGTGATCCAAATATTTAAAAAGTATCAACTATGTATTGGAAATATAAAAAAATATTTTAAATTTATTAATATATTTACAAAGTATATATTAAGTGACACAATCTTTCTCAATAGGTATCGTTTTTACGTTCAGAACGCGCTCTTCTCATTATTTATGACTTAATTTTGTCTCCTACACTTGAATTTGCTCTTGCTCTTTTATATGACCTAGAGTATATCACTCTTATAGGAATATCCTAGTCCAAATTTATGATATTTAAAATAATAAAAATAATTTATAAATTAACATATCTAAAAAACAATAAGTGTAATTTTTATTTTTTCAAAATTAAAGCAAACGAATACCGGCTACATTTTAACCCTGATCCGTCTCCAACATCAACCTCACCAATATTGTGTTTGGATGCGAATATAGGACACATTTGCAGAAGAATCGTATTTAAGAGAGAGGTTCGAGGTCTGGTAATGGGATAGTGAGTGATGCAACGTCACGTTGAACCCGTTAATAATACTATAAATTGAAGTCGCAGCGTTCTGATCTCCATCTCCATCTCCGTCTCTCTCATGCATATGCATACTCCTCAACTCGGATTCGAAGGTCAGCTCTCTCTCTCTCTCAACCTTGTTTGCAATTTCATTTTCAATTCTTCTCTTATTGATTGAATCTTATCATCATCTTCAATCTTCAAAGAATCAATTTTTTAATAAAAACAGTACCACAAACCTATCTCTAATCTCTATAACGAAACCTTAATTAAACCTGTTTGTCGATTAGCTCATCATCGCTGTTTGATATCGAAGTTTTTGAGAAATTTTGCAAATTTATTTACACGATCTGTTCTTACCATATGTTTGTACATCCGTCGGATCGTTGTATTTAGGTAAAATAAACCCTTGATTATAATAAGAGTTCCTTTTTTCTTTTTTTAATTTGATTTTCCTTAATTTTTTTATTTGGGCATCAGATGATAAATGGGGAGGGGATTTGTGAGGAATCCACCCAAATCGCCTCTCCTGATCTAGTTGAAGGGTTTCTGCCCTGGCAAGGTGAGAAATCGGACGGCGAGACGTCGCCTGTTTCGTCACAATACTCTTCGTGTGGAGAATCCGAGTTTGAGAGATATTGCAGTGCAAATTCAGTCATGGGGACGCCTAGTATGTGTAGTTCCATAGGAACTTTTCAGGAATGTCTTGATTCTGAGTTTGGGTCTGGGAGGAGTTTCGTGCTTGATAGTGGTTCGGAGAATTTTAGTTTGACGGGGAGATTTGATAGGAAACTTGAGGACAGGGGACTTTCCTCTTCAGGTGAATTGGTTTGTTCAGAATCTCTTGATAGAAACAACAATCTAGAGCTGAGAAATGATGAACAATCGGGACAAGGATCGGCAGGGATAAAGAATGGGTTGAATTTTTATGGTGACGATGACATGGAGAGTTTTTCATTGCATGCAGTCAATCTCAATCATGCCGATGGTGATAGTGTGATGCCGTTTATGGTTGGGCGTGGGACGGAGTTACCATTGGTTGCAGATTTAAGTACTGCTTTGGATGAGGGACTTCGTGATGAAGCTGGTGTTATGCCACGTAGAAAACAGAGTGAGTCACAACGACTGCAAAGTTCTTCTGTAAGTCTGTCTACTCAAGAGAATACCAATGTAGATGCTACTGAGGCAAATATGCTGAGTTTTGGGGTTACTAATGATTCCCATTCTTCAGCAGGGGTGGAGGAGGAAGCCCAGTCTCAGATGGTTACTGAACACATTGATAGTTACTTATATGGTCTAAAGTCACATTCTGGTATGGAAAATGACCGCACAGAGTATGGAAGATGCTCGGACGAAGACAATACCTCATCCAGACATGTCCATTCAGAAGGTGAGGACTCAATGTTTGGCTGTGGTACAGATGATGAGCAGAAGATTCATTCATATCATTGGGAGAACATGCCATCCCATAAGGAAGCAAAACGAGAGACCAAAAATTCACTGCTCATGAACTCATCTGTAGCCTTTGGTTCAGATGATTGGGATGATTTTCTGCAAGAAACGGGGAATACTGATATGGCTTCAATAATGTTGGATAAATTTCAGGAGAAGGAACATCTGAATATTCAAACTGGTGGAAATCTCTCAAATTCCACTTCTAAGACTGATGTTGGATTTTCAGATGGTGCACCAGAGCAAGGAGAAGTTATGAGAGACATATCTGTAGCCAGCAATCAAGTCCAAGGTGCTGATGGATTGTCAGAGTGCATAAAAATTGTTTCTTTGACCCCAATGGATTTTCCGAATTTGGGTGAAACAGAGCAAGGAGAAGATGTGAAAGACATTATTTCTACTAGCAATAAAACTGAAGGTGTTGATAAATCCGTAGAGTATCTTAAAACATGTTCTGTTAACGGTATTTTAGAAACAGAGCAAGATCCGTTATCACAACAGGCTCCTTTAGAGAAAGGTTTGAATCTTATGGACAGTGGTTTGGAAAGGGGCCGTCCACTTAAAAGTATTGAGGAACTCACCAGAGTTGATGACAGTCGAGTTTCAGAAAGTCAAGAGTCAGAGAAACCAAAATCACAGTTGGACCGTCTTTCTGATATTAAAGCCAGTCAACTTTATGCCGCTTCAGTTGAAGCAACTGAAGATAAAATGATTGATTTTCTGAAGGATCCATATTCATTGCCGTCAATGGTTGGGAATAACATAAAGGGAACACTAAACAATTCTCCTGCTTCATTCAATCTCTTTGAAGACCATTCTAAGGTCAGTTAGTACTTAGTAGTTTGCATGCATATAAAGCATTTTACGAACTCTTTTCATTTTATGTTCTTTGTATCATCAATTAGTCGCTGGGTCACTGATGTTATGCTAATGCTTCTATTTTCTTGTTATAACCACCTGCTTGACATCTATGCACATACATATTGATGTTTGCATTCATGCACCTCATTTACCCACACAAAAACTGTAGCCTATGAGCTGGGAGTAAAAAATGAAATGAAATATTGAAAAAGTTCATCTAAACTAGTAACTTATCTTTTTTATTTTCTTTTAATTTAATTCTTCTTGGGGGACTGGGGGTTGTGGAACTAAATTTCATAGTGGCCGCTTCCTGCTACCAGAACTTGTAGTTTACTCTTCTCTGAAAACGTGGATTTTCTCATTAGAAGTGGGCGTGATTTCTAATCTTTGGTGTTTCACAAATCTGATAGTTGGATTCAGAATAGGAATATGTGGATATTTGGTTACAAGAGAATTTCTGTATTTTGTTTGCACCACACACAGTTTCAAAAAGTGTGGAAGGAAACTTTTGACGTTAGTTGCTGCCCTAAGAAGCACGGATATGGACACGGGACAGGAACACGATACGACACGGATATGCAGACACGTCAAATTCTAAAAAAGCAGGAGACGGACACACGGTGTGGACACGGCTAATATAAATATAAATTTTCATTTATATATCTATTGAGTAAGACAATCATAGAAGTTTAATTAATTTATATAAAAAATGTTATATTACTATTTTATCTTGTCAATATAGTTATGTTTTTGTTTCTTTGGGGTTGAACACTTTGGTGTATGATCATAATGTTGTTTCCAATACCGTCATGTGTTTATTTGTTATAAGGCGAAGAGTGTAACGTGTGTTCGTTGAGTGTCCGGAATGTGTTGACCAAGTATGTAATATGTGTCCGCCAAGTGTCCGAAATACTAAAACATATTTTTTAATAATGGACACGGCCATGAAGTGTTGGACAAGTGTGTAGGAGTGTCCATGGAATGTCGGTGTCTGACATGGACATGGCACCTCATAGAGTGTCCGTGCTTCTGCCGAAGAAGCATAAATACTTCTATAAGGAGCTGTATCCGTATCAAATGCCGATACTTCTGGTCACATATGCTTGTCCGATAGTTGTTGAATGGATCCAATTTTTTTCTTCAATTCTGAACACATAAGATACTTCTCATAGTTTTCGACACATGTTTGGCAAGCCTTGAACATTGAAATATAACTCTGCCAAGTATAATATCATAGTATTATTGTGAGGAGAAGCATAACAAAGGTTCACTTAGACTTTTAAAGAATAATTAAAATATAGTGAGAATATATTTTGTCTAATTTACTCTAAATTGAGATCTATGTGACATACTTCTCAATATGTTTTTTGCAATATTTATTTATAACAAAATCTAGTGATATATCTACAATACTACAAATAATTACCGGTTTAAATCTCTATATAGATTTGCGTATATTTTAATTTACATATATACACAAAAATACTATATACGTGTGTGTATATATATTGACATATTCTCACCCTATCCATATTCTATTTTTGAAGAACTTGTTGTACTCGTATCATGTCATGTCCAATTCCCGCATCCACGTCCATGCTTCATAGTTTGCCAGCTTGCTGCCTATGCTGAACTCAAACTTGCTACATTGCTGCCCTCAACATGATGCTTTTGCTTATTATGTCAGTAAAGTGAAATATTAGTTTGGTCATGGTAATTTAAACACAAATATAATTAATTTTCAGTTTTTTTTTTAAATAAGAGCCATGGATTACTGAAGTGATTGCCAGTTATTGGGTTTAGTAAGTGAGACTCCTGTTCTAAGATCTCAAAGGTGTACATTTAATTATTAATATTAGTTGATGCATATTGAGCTGGAATCATTGCATTGATAAAATTTCTGTGGCTCTTTGTTTTGGGAGCAACTTACATTTGGTGAAGGCGCTGAAAACTTGAAAAGTATATATCGGAATTCAGAAAAAGTAGTATTGAAGCAAAATGTAGAGAAAAATAAGAGATGAAATTCATAGAGTACCTTTCCCAGAATCAAATAGCACTGTGTTTCTAGAACTTTATAGTTTGCTTTATGTCAGGTTTATTAATCACAATGGCAAGCCAATGACCACATATATGCTTCTATTTGTAGGAATATAAACAATATTTTACTCTAGGTATTGTGCCAAAAGGTATGGGAGAAAAAACTGTTTTGTTAAAACTGGATGGTATATATGTTTGAAGTTTAAAAATCCTAGTATCCAAATCATCTATGTTTTGAAAAGGAGGCATAATGGCAGCAACTTTATAATTGAACTGTCTACAGGAACCCTTGATAAGTATAAATTAGTGCCGAATGCTTGCTGCATAAAAATTTCAGCAGAAAACAGTCTTTTAGTTAATACACGCACTCGCACACATATACATATATTCTAAATTCTTGTTTGACTAATGCACATTCATGTTGTATTTTAAGTGCAGCAGTTTCCTGTATTTTTGGTGCAGACCTGTGCTACTCATACACTTGGTTTTTTCTTCTCGTTGGGTTTATTAATGTACCACCCACCTGTTGAGTGCAGTTAATCAAATACTGTGCATGACCCCATGCCAACCCACTTTATTTTCCCTCAGTGGGGATTTTTTTGCTACTCAACTTTCTTGAGTCTCAAATGTAAATCCCTTTGGGCTCATATTTATTGTATTACGATCTCTTGCAGACACAGAATTTTGAGCAAAATGAATTCTATGATGAGGTTGTCCATGAGATGGAAGAAATATTACTTGATTCTGGGGAGTCTCATGGGGCTAGTTTCACCCATGGGAATAGGATATATCAATCCCCAAGAGTTCTGCCATATAGAGATGGTGGGTCAACTGCTTCTACTTCTGGCTCGGATGATGCTTACCCACCCATCCAGCGTCCTCTGAGAATTGATGGGGTTGAAGTAGTTGGTGCGAAGCAGAAGAGTGGAGATGTCTCACTTGGCGAAAGACTTGTTGGAGTGAAGGAATACACTGTTTATAAAATAAGAGTATGGAGTGGAAAGGATCATTGGGAGGTTGACCGGAGATATCGTGATTTTTGTACTCTCTATCGTCGGTTGAAAACATTATTTGCTGATCAAGGCTGGATTCTTCCTTCTCCATGGTCTTCTGTTGAACGGGAATCCAGAAAGATTTTCGGGAATGTTTCTCCTGATGTTGTTGCGGAGAGAAGTTCTCTTATTCAAGAGTGTTTACAATCCATTATCCACTCCGGGTTTTCATCCAGTCCCCCAACTGCTCTGATTTGGTTCTTATCCCAACCAAAAGCTCCTCCTGGCTCACCTGCATCAAATACAGACCATCCCCAGTCTCCCTTTTCTGTCAGAGGGACAGATACAGACAATGTCTCTACATTGGGGAAAACCATATCACTTATTGTTGAAATCCATCCCCACAAATCTACTAAACAGATTCTAGAAGCACAACACTATACTTGTGCGGGATGCCGCAAACATTTTGATGATGGGAAAACCCGAATGCTGGAATTTGTACAGACACTAGGGTGGGGTAAGCCTCGTCTTTGTGAATATACCGGTCAATTGTTTTGTTCTTCTTGCCATACAAATGAAACTGCAATCTTGCCAGCAAGAGTTTTGCATCACTGGGATTTTACTCCGTACCTGGTTTCTCAACTGGCTAAATCGTATCTGGATTCTATTCATGATCAGGTAATCTAAAGATTGGTAAACAATTTCTTTGTGGTACACATACAATGTTGTCATTTGTAGATTCTTCATGGTTGCAAAAATGTAGAGAAAATTACACAAGTAGTCAATTAGAAAACAATTAGTTTTCGGTTGCGGGGACTGATTTCCTCATCTCCAGATGTCTTTCCTTTCCAATTTCGTAGAAATAATTACAATAACCTCACACCACCATGGCAGAACACAATCTTTTAGCTCATGCTGACATTGCGGGCAGAAAGCAGAGAAGCTGATACCCTTGCTTGCAGAGATTTCTCGCAGCACATATCCTTTTTCTTCTAAATGAATTATCTAAATTTCCAAATAGAGTGTTTTTTTTTTTTGGGTGGTAATCAAAATGTTATTCCCTTCGATTCAGAAGCTGAGGCTTGGAAAATCTTGAGCATTGAGTGGGCTCTAGTTCTCCCTGGATATCTTTGAAAGTGCTATATTCTGGGAGACAAAAAATGAGCTATTGATTTGGTCAGGGAAACCCTTGACCATCCATTCCTGCTCCTCCAACAACGCACATTCTGCACTTAGATATGCAATAAGATAGGCATTCTCTTGGATGTTTTACCTATCATTATGTTACGGATTAAGAATCTGTCAAGCTTTTAGGTGCCTATTCATTTTTATCTTCAGCAATGGTATTATTCTTGATGTTTTATCTTCTTGCAGCCCATGCTTTGTGTCACTGCCGTTAATCCTTTCCTATTCTCAAAAGTCCCGGCGCTGCTACATATTACGGGTGTCAGAAAAAGAATAGGAATTATGCTTCCATTTGTTCATTGCCCATTCCGTAGGTCCATTTACAGAGGACTTGGGTCTCGGAGATATATTCTTGAAAGCAACGACTTTTTTGCACTTAGAGACCTCATTGATCTTTCTAAAGGGGCATTTGCAGGTTAGATTTTAATTATGAGTTGATTTTTATTCTGTGACTTGGTGGACTACTACGAGGTTGCTTGATATCATTTTGCAATATTCTATGGCTTGTATATACAAAAAATAGGAATCTATGCAGTAGTTTTCAACATTCAGGATTTATCTATTAACACGTGCACATGTAATATTCATCCAGAGACCTACTTCTTAGTAGCAGATCATATCTTTCACTATTTTTTTCCTTAGGGACCTCATCAATCTTTATAAAGGGGCATTAGCTTTGATTAAAAGTAATTGCAATTCTTTGACTTGGTGGGGGAAAAGACACTGTGAGGATGCATGATTTCATGTTGTGATACATTTACATGTATGAATTATACATATAAAAAATAGGAATCTATGCAATCGTCTTTAATGTGCAGCATTTGTTCACATCACAGATTTATCTAGATATCTCATTGATATCAACTATTGTTGTTATGTTTTGATAACTCTAGAATCCTATTTGTTGCATATATATTGGCTTACCATCATGTGAGGATCTCATTACATGTTCTGTGTCATTTTCTTGTGTTGGCTTCATTCTTAGATGTTGTCTAGTGGATAAATTTGTCATCATTTGCCAGAAAGGGGGGAAAAAATGGATGACTGCATATTTTTATGAAACATCTAAGCATGCTGCGAACATTCAAGAAGTTTAAGGTTTACATCGGAAGATTTGCTATTCAAGTTATGCCATGTCTATGAATTTGATAGTTAATTAGTGGATTTGTTGTTGATCTTTCTTTTTTATCTCTGCCCTTTTAGAAAATTTTGGTATTGTTATTCTTGTGGTGGTTTGTTTTTGAGGGTATGCTTTGGGTTCTAATCTTTTCATGAACTCAGAATGGTCCATTTTTTTAGCTCTCTTACATGTAGATGTATTATATTTGATCATTGTAAATGAGGTATTGCACACCTCTACTCCTTGTTGAAGGAAATTATCAAAATTTTCGTTCATATATGTTTGCGAATACAACACTTGACTCAGCAGAGCCTTAAACTTTGGTTTGGCTCTATAAATCCAGCGTTACCACCTAGCTGTATATATGGTCATGTTCTTACTTAAATGGTAGGACATCATTCACTCCCAAGCTGTATGCATGAGTGGTATCTCCTGCTACCTCATAAGGGAGATTGCCGAGTTTGAATCTGAGTTGGGCCTGAGATGTGTGCAGGCAGAAAAAATGAACGATTGGTAAAGAATGGAAAGATTGGTTGTCCATTATGTTTTTTTTTCACTATCTCAGCCAGACTGGTTTTTTACTACTTCCTCTTGCTCTTTTAGTGCTTTCAGCTTACGTAAATCATTTCTGCTTTCCAATGCATTAATTGGCATTCTTTGCACATGACCAGAAAACCTCCATAAAGAACTTGCCATCATCCCCAACCAGCTTCTCATGAATACTTTTATTTCTTCTTGTATCTATTCTCGTCTTACCTTTTATCCATGTCAAATTCTCATCTTAACATATTTATCACATGATGGTCCAACACACTGATTACATCTGACTTGATTCATTTCAACTCAAGTCTGTGTTTCTGATGTTTATCATCTCATTTTGCAGCTTTACCGGTGATGGTAGAAACTGTTTCAAGGAAAATCCAGGAACACATAACGGAACAATGCCTCGTATGCTGTGACGTGGGTGTTCCTTGTAATGCACGGCAAGCCTGTGATGACCCATCTTCTCTCATTTTCCCTTTTCAGGTGAGCATTTATTTTAGCATTTTACATTTCTCCACTGTACATGCATATTCACCATGCATATTTAGATACCCCTCGTAGTTGATTTTGATGGTTCCAAAGGAAAAACACTCAACAGAGTGGTATGAACAACCATTGTCTCTTACCGATATGAATAATTGACAGGAATTAGGAGAAATTGAAAAGTGTGGATCGTGTGAATCGGTTTTCCACAAGCGTTGCTTCAAAAAGATCAGTAGTTGTCCTTGCGGAGCGCTTCTTAGGCTCAATGAGGCCAAGAGGGATAAGGCAAGCCACAGGAATGGCAACGAGGTCGACGGGACTTTGGAGACTCTGGCGAGAAGTGATTCCAGATCTTCTTTGGGATTTCTCTCTGGACTGTTCTCAAAGGCAAGGCAAGAAAAGGTTTTGGGACACAAGGACAGTGATACAGTCATTTTAATGGGTTCTTTACCAAGCAACTCCCTCTGATCAAGTTGTAATTGTGGAGTTACTTTGTATATATAGATTTAAAAGCATTAAATATGAGAAGTGATTTCTTTTGCCCTTTGGACAGTCGGTAGAAAAATCAGACCTGGCATTGTTGTTGTAAACCATTCTTCGAGACGAGACATATTTTTTTTTTTTTTCAGTTTGTATTCTTTGTAATGCAACTTCAGAAGAGAAGTATTTTTTCGTATTCTTTTTCCACTGCCTGTTTATTTCTTGTTCATTTTTTATTTTTATTTTCCTTGCTACTTTGCTGTTCATGTAGATGTTAGCTTCCTCTGCCTGCTTGGTCACCTCACGGTGTGCCCATATGTAATTCTCTAGTTTGACCCAAAAAAAAAAAAAAAAGCCATAAAAATTATTGAAGTTTATAATTTTTCAAAAGGGAAGTTTCCAAAAATTCTTGCATGTATATTAATTAAAAATAATTTAGAGAATCAAATAAAGTATAATTAAAAACCTAATGCATGTATGCATCAACTCTAAATATAACTGTGAGTATCAAGTTACCTTCTTACTCTTGGGGTGGAAGATTATGCATTTATCCTTCTATGTAGATTCAATTTCATTTTCAACTATGAGGGGTCTTGTAGTCTAGTAGTATTTTGTAACAAGGGAGAGCTTGTCCTATGTTGGATTTAGATGAAAAAGGGAATGGGTATATATGGGTTGGGTATTAGTCCCACTTAATAATTTAACTTTTTGGATCAAATTGCGAAACACTATCGATGTTACCTTAAGCGCCTGTCCCAAAGGACGTTTGGGTTTGCACTCCTAATAAGAGGGCGCGGGTTGCGAATTCGGGTGGGACGTGTGGGGGAGAATGTAATAATGGAAGAGCTTGTCCCACATCCGATTCAGATGGAAAAGTGAATAGTATATATGATTTAGTTGTTAGCTTTACCTAATAACTTAAAATTTTAGTATATATGCGTTAGGTGTTAGTTTAACTTAATAACTTAAGTTTTTAGGTCGAATCGTGGAGCACTCACCTGTTACTTGTCTTCAGGAGCGTATATTTCTGTCCAATGAAAAAAAAAAAAAAATCTATGAGCAGAGGTAACAGCAACCAACACCAAGTAACTGAAATCAGTGACTTCAGTTTTGATCTATGAAATTTGCCAACCTAAGTTTTATTGATGTTTATGCATTTCAATCCCACAGTTTCTGTGTTGATTAAATAGTCTTATGTCAAATATATACAAGAACAATATATATATATATGCATATTTTACGTAATAATTGGTGACTGATACAGTGATACCGCATTTTCCGTCTCAAGATTGAGTCTGTGGTGATCCGTGGTGAACATACATCAACTGCATTGCACATCACAGTTTCCATAGCATTCCTAAAGAGATAAGATCGACACCGAGTCACCGACATCCCACTGAATTAGTTTAATGTACGGGCAACCAACTTGCACTGCCCGGACTCACTTCCAGTGGACAGCGGCTGCCCGTTGCCCGAAACCCTAGCATCAAACTATGTCCTTACCTACCACCCCTTGAATCCTTTATATAAACAAAAAAACCCTAGTGTTCATCATCTCTCTCATTCTATCACCCCTTACTGTATTTTCTTGTTTCACTATTTTTAGTAGTTGTGTGTTTTTTGTCTTACACATAGTGATACACACACTTATATAACATACTGTTATAGTGTCTTGTAGATATGTACGATTATATATGTTTAGTGTTTGTTATTCTTTAAACATTTGATAGATCTATAGGAGTTTAGTCATGACATTTTGAATGTTTTTGTTCAAGGGTTTGACTTTTACTGTGTGTGTGTTTTTGGGTATATATATTTATATATATGTCTAGATCTTATTGTGTTAGAAAATTTGATTGTTAAGTACTGCAAAACACTTCCATCCGCATGCGACGCACGTGCTGGGCAGAGCGGCCATATTTTGCATAGATTGACTGATATAAAGTATCTCAGATTATATGCTTTTGCTGTTTTCTAAGAGGTTGATGTAAGATTTGTCACACGACCTTATTAGATTCTCTCAGCATACATTTTTCTGTATTCCAATTTTTTTTTTCTTTCTCTTATTTTATTTTATATTTTCTTTTGGTGATTTACAACAAAATTTATAGGTTCTTGTAAACAATGGTTCGTAGATGCGGTATCGGTTGCGGTTGGTAATATCGGATCCTTCGAATCATGAATTAAAAACTTTATCCAAACTATTTATTTTTATAATCTTTGCTTTTAATTTTCTAATAATTTACTTATATTTGGGTTTTGGATAACTATTAGATGGCCATTGAATGCAATGAAGTGGGAGAAAGAATTGAAGTCCATCCATCTCCTTGGCCATGAGTTGGGTGCACTTCTTCCATTTGAGATCAATTTTTACATGGAAGAAGAATGCTAGTCACAGTGGTTAGCGACTGTGACAGCTTATTCTTTTTCAAAGGATTTAGGTCGAGTCTATCGGGCATCGAAAATTAATGAATAATCAATCAAATCTTGTTTAGTCCGAACTAGAATTTTTGTTAGCTTTTAATTTTTTTTTTTCTTCATAGACATTTTACAACAATAAAATATTAAAAAATATTTTTTAAAAAATATTTTACATCGAAAACAACCTAAATCTAAATTCAAAGTAGGAGTGTTTTTTTTATTGTTTTCATGAAATTACTCATAAAGTATTAGTGTTTTTCAAAGTAGGAGTGTTTTTTTTAGTTTTCATGAAATTACTCAAAGTATTAGTGTTTTTTTTTTTTGTTTTCATGCACTCATGTAAGCAGTTAAATGCTCATTAAACTCATAAAATATATATAAGTATTCTTTTATTTTTGTGAAATTACTAATAGTGTCACCAGTACTTGAATGCTTATCATATAGAATAGAAGTGTCTTCTTTTCTAGATGAAAATTTTTTTAGACCGATTTATCTAATCTAATGATTTTTATTTCTTTGATGTAATGAATAAAATTTACATTTGAGTTTATGCACTTTATCAAAGACAAATTGGCCTAACAAATAGGCTGAGTATCATTACTTGTAAGTCATATATTGCACAAAATGATTGAATTTCTTTAAAGATAATATACAAGTACAAGTGTAATTAGTAATTTTATAGAAGTAAAAGAACACTTATTTTATAAAGATTGATGAGCATCTAAACAAATTAATTTAAGTGTTCCTTCCAAATTGAGAGTGTTGTTACAGTTGTTAACGACTATGATTTGCATTTCTCTCCTAATGAAATTTGTCTAAAAATAGATTAATTGTACAAAATTTCCTTTGAACCATAAAATATTTGTCATTTCTCTTGAATTATTGAAAATTTACGAGATAGGCATCAAGTGGTCCATGAAATCATCTTGGAATTCTTGAATTGCCTATAAGATTAATTGAACCAAACATTTACTGAATATTAATAGTTTTATTTTTCTTCAATTTTTTATTTTTCAGTGTGTTTTGTACAATTAATTCAAAAGGTTAAAATAAGATTCTCAATATATATATATATATATATATATATTTGAAAGTTAAACAATGTATTTATAAGGCAGAGTAAAATGTACAAGAACACGGGCCTAATGAGAGGGTAGGGCAGAAAACAAAAGAAACCATGAAGGCTATAAAGCACAACACCATAAGGCACAAAAGGCCCAACCCACTTGAATATACAAATTGACTTTTTCCATTTTTGTCCACAGTGTATATATACTGTATATATATAGAGAGAGAGAGAGAGACAGAGAGAGAGAAATATAAAGTTGCAGTTGGAACCATGAAGGCATAAAGCACACCACCATAAGGCACAAAAGGCCCAACCCACTTGAATATACAAATGGACTTTTTACTTTTTTGTCCATAAAGTTGTATATATATATATATATATATAGATAGATTTGGAACCATGAAGACATGAAGCACAACACCACAAGGCACAAAAGGCCGAACCCACTTGAATATACAAATGGACTTTTTCCTTTTTTTGTCCATAAAGTTTTTATATATATGGAGAGAGAGTTGGGAAAGTAAGAAAAATAGTTAGTTTTTGGGCCGCTGTCTGTTTATAGACTACAGAGTTGGTCCAAGCCCAAAGATATACCATAATATCTGTTGCTACCTCCGTCCCATATTAAAAGTCTACTTCGGAATTGTGAGTCATAGTTTTCAAAGTGGACTTTTAATATGGGACGGAGGGAGTGCATTGTAATGAACAAATCCTATTACTCTTGTTTTCAATATGAATATTAAAAATAAATAAATAGAAAAATTAGATTTTATTTGATACTCAGACACACATGCACATCCATGGAGGCTTGAACCTTTGACCTCCCTTTGGGAAGTAAGGGCCTGATGGTAAAAATAAAATAAAAAAAAGATTTTATGACTTAACCAAAATAAAATTTCTGTTGAGTAACCATAAAATTAAGACAATGTGAAGATTTATCAAATCTAGAAGTTAAATATAAATAAGTGGCCATTTAAGGGCAACTTTGTTAAACTACTTAATTTTTATTTCAAAATAAAATATAATTTAGAAGATGACTAAGCTACCCTCTTGCTTGCCCCATATGGGAAATCTTTATCCCTCAATTCACAATATTCGACACGCACTTTAACCACACTGGCACATATTTAAGAAATTAAGTACGGATATTTGATTGTCTATAAAACCTTTCCTTGATCTTGTTATAACATAGTCTAGGTGATATTCACACAACTCGATGTTAGACAATTCCATGTTCTTTAGATGATAGATCCCACATCTTTTACCATTTTTTTTTTTTTTTTTTTTTGGTTTTTTCACTTTGTCCTATGTGGTCTTAAGCCCTTGACCTTTTAATTTAAAAGATGATGGAGTGAGTGCTACTGAAAAATAATGGAGAAATAGGGTATTTAGCAAACAATAAGAACTAATATGATTAAGTTAAATTAGTGTAAATAAAAATCATTTAAATATAAATACAAGTACAATCGGGTGATTAAGAATGTTACAACCATAAAGAGCAGATACAGTGAAAAGAGATCAACGAGAAAAAAAAAAGGGTACAGAAATGTCAAATGTGCCAACATTTAGGATACAAGCATATTTACTTAGTTCAGCCTCTTTGCTTACGTCCATACATTAAAAATATCTCTCGAGAATTCTCGAATGGGGCTTTCCTTGCAGGTGGAAAGCAAACATTTACACGTAATTCTCTTTTGTAGGGGAGAGACCACTTTGTTCACATTTGTTCTCACTCTTGCGCGCACGAGTGGAGAGCCAGCCTAATTACTCTCTTTCGGATGGAAAACAAACCTCTACGTAACGTTTTGAAATTTCCCTTTACCAAGAGCACTACCAAGACTTTTACTCTCTCAATAGATTCAAGTTTGAGTGTTACAATTGGTCTGATACCAGCTATATGAAACAAATCTCTCGACTCAAAGATATATATACAAATGATTGCCCACAAATTAATCTAGACTTGTGAATTCTCTAAGTGAAAGCTCTTCTCTAGAATTTCAAGTTAACCCCAAGAATGGATATTCAAGTTTTGGCTCATTGGTTGTTAACTATCAATGTGTGATAAAACTTAAATTCAAGTTTAAGCTTGGTGGTTGCATATTTTACTTCCAGTGTAATCTCGCATCATTGTCTTGGTTGTAACATTCTTAATCATCTACGAAGTTTAAATTTGAATTTAAGTTTTCTTTTCGCATCCAGATAATGTGGGATTGTACACTCGTCATATGTCACACTCATATAAAAGTTCGCTACACAAAATCTTTTTCACCTAACAACGAAATGTAACTATGAGTAGTGATATTTAATGTAGTTATTTGTTTACATTGTATTCGTATCGTTTACATGTTCAATTCGTCAAACAACCAAATACAATTCAAAACCAAAATGCATGCTGCTTAGCATCCCAATATTGCTGAATTCATTTTTCAAATGTTGTTTCATATCACCAATTTGGAGATTCATCAAGGGAAAATGTCAGTTCTTTACCTCTATCTCCAATTGGGACGCCCTTGTCCACTACATCAGCATGCATTGGAAGACCAATTCAGCCCCAAATCTGCTTTGTAAAGTTTGCTTCTCATATGTGGTATACCATACTTGGGAAGAGCGAAACGATTGACTATTCAGAAGGAAGAAGTCATTGCAGAGAGCAGTGCTTGCTCGAATTACCTCCACCATTACTTGAATCCTCAAATTAGGATTTCTGCAGGACTGCCATACATCAAAACGCATCATTGAAGAGTGAAATTTTCCTCCTTCCTCCTCCACCAAGACCACCGGACTGATGATCGATGAAGTCGCCGGACTTCTTATGCTTAGGGCACACAACCGGATATCCATTTGTACCCACCATTAACGGCTAATCAAGCCGTTAATTGCGGTTATGAGTTTTGATTTTGATTAGGCTTGTCCCTTGCTCCCTTCATTGGGCCTTTTTTTTGTCCCACAAGGTTGGACTTGTAATGGCCTAAGGCCCAAAATGTAGTTATTATTCATATATTTCAGTTGTTTAACTTTTCGAAAAAAAAAAAATTGCTGAATGCGATAGAGAAGAAACTATCCATTATAGAACTTTGTATTGACCGTCTATCATCAAAGTATGAAGCCTTGTTAAACATTCACTTCTGAAAAGAAAAAATTTAAGAAATAAAAAGGCAAAAAGGAGAGTACAAAGAAAATGAATTATTATACAAAAAACCAAAACCAAAAAAAAAAAAAAAAAAAATTAGACCAATGAATTCTCCATGGTTTGTGCATCCATTTTGAGGTGGAAAATGCAAGTTGTTGCAGAACTAAGCTTATCCGGGGAAGAACCCAATGACATGGAGTTCACTCTCCAGTACTCATTTCCATAAACCCATGTCTCTTCTTCTTTCTTATGTTCAAGTTTACCAGTATCCGAGCTCGAAATGGAAACGTTTCTCCAATCAGACCATATTCTTACCATGATATAAAGCAGCACTAAGCAGATAACTGTAGATGTAAATACAATGGCCACTACAATCCCAGCAACTGCAGAATCTGATAGCCACTTTCTCTGCTGACCCGCGGATTCCGAACACGATACTAATGGTGGGCCGCATAGCTTATCATTAACCAAGAAGGAGGTGAGTGGGAATCTTGAAAAAGTTGAGGGAAGCTGGCCCCGAAGATGATTATTTGACAGGTTGAGATTGTGGAGGCTAGTCAGTTTTCCTAGCGAATACGGAACTTCTCCACTGAGTTGGTTGAAAGAGAGGTTCAGTCTCTCTAACTTCACGAGGTCTCCAATCGAGAATGGGATTTCACCTGAAAGGAGGTTCTTGCTGAGGTCTAGGATCACTTGTAGTTCCGTGAGTGATCCGAGCTCGGATGGGATTGAGCCGGTGAAGTTGTTCTCGGAGAGCCTCAGCTCGTAGAGCTTCTTACACTGCTGGATTGTGGCGGGAATGGCCCCGGAGAGATTGTTTCTTTGGAGGCTGAGGACATTCAGAGAAGTGAGGTTCCCAATCTGCAGAGGGACGTTACCTGACAGTTTGTTGCTGTGGAGAGAGAGCTTAAGCAAACTCGAACACTTCCCAATTTCGGCAGGCATTGTCCCGTGGAAATTGTTGGACGAAAGATCAAGCTCTCCGAGTCCCTGCAAGCTCCCTAACCACGTAGGAATTGTGCCGGAAAATTGGTTCGTGTTGAGTAGGAGATGACTGAGTTTTCGACAGTCTGAGAGTTCGGGTGCTAGCTCTCCTGTGAAATTGTTGAATGACAAATCAAGAAAGCTGAGCTCCGTGAGTTGCCCAAAATCGGAAGAAATGTTGCCGGAAAGAAGATTGTATGCAAGGCGTAGACGGGTCAGGTTTTTGGACATGGTTAGTGTGGGAGGAATGGGACCGGAGAAGCTATTGTTTGTCAAGTCCAAAACAGTCAGAGAATTCGAACCACAGAGAGGTGAGATGCTTCCACTGAACCTATTGTGCGAAAAATTGATGATTCTAAGGCTTTTCAGTTGGGAGAGAGACTCAGGCAGTGGACCTTCAAATGAATTGTTGTATAGAGTAATGAGGAAGAGCTCGGAAAGGAATCTAAACGTCGGTGGCAGTGATCCGGTGAGCTTGTTATCAGCCAACACCAATTTCCTAAGCTTCCTGCAGTAGCCTAAACTCGGTGGGATTGGACCCGAGAGCTCATTCTGTCTCAGTTGAAGGAAAGAGAGGTTCTTGAGTTTCCCAATTGTCGCGGGAATGGAACCGGAGAAATGATTTCCAAAGAAATCAATCTCAGTTAAGCTCCAACAGTCAGTTAGCTCTATCGGTATGGTTCCAGACAACTGGTTGTCATAGAGATAGAGAACGCTTAACCTTTTCAGCTTCCCGATCTCAACTGGAATACCACCTGTGATCGTATTGTCAAATAGGAAAAATGTTTCCAAATTACTCATATTTCCAATCTCAGGAGGTATAGCTCCAGTGAAGCTGTTGTTGTTGAGTAAGAGATCTGTGAGGTTGTCCAATCTGCCTAGGCCGGATGGGAGTTGGCCTTCAAAGCTGTTATCCGAAAGGTCTAGTTCTTGGAGTGACAAACAGTTGAGTAGCTCCGACGGGAATTTGCCTGAGAGATCATTCCGCGACACAATAACTTGCCGGATATTGGAATTGGGGACGCAGAAGTTGCTCGGAATGCTACCTGTGAAGGTATTATCAGACAGAACAAGAACCTGAAGATTCTTCATTTGGGAACTTTGGAGAGTTATGGTTCCTGAGAGGTTGTTGTTCGACAAGTCAATCTCCGCGAGCTGAACCAACCGGTTAAGTTCTAGAGGGATTTCGCCATTCAATCCATTTCCGAGCAAGTTCAAGTATTTCAAATTGGAGAGGTTGCTCAATTCAACAGGAATTGGTCCTGAAAGACTGTTGTTAGCCAAGTTCAAGATTTGCAACGACTCGAGCTTTCCCATTGAAGCTGGGATTTCGCCTTCAAGCCTGTTGTTTGAGGCTGCAAAGTTCTGAAGCTCGGTGCAGCCAACGATCTCTTGTGGTATGAGGCCACTGAGACTGTTCTTCTGCAAATCGAGAGATTGTAGACGATTCAAGTTTCCGATTTCAACCGGAATGCTTCCATTGAATTGGCAATAAGCAAGTGCCAACACTCTCAACTCAGTCAAGTTACCAATGGTTGGTGTAACTTGGCCTGTCAACATGTTATCTCCAATTCTAAGTACTTGCAGCTTCTTCAAAAGACCAACTTCTGCAGGAACGTTACCGGAGAGAGAATTCGAATAAACCAGCAGTTGCCTTAGATTCTGAAGCTGGCCGAGCTCGGGAGGAATCAAACCGGTGAGGAAATTCATCGACAAATCGAGTAATTCAAGTGAAGTGAGGTGGGAGAAGTGAGGAGAGATCGAACCGGACAGTCCTGATCCAGAGAGGTTCAGACTCACAACATGAGCTTTATCATCTGAACATGTAAGCCCATTCCAAGAACACATACTAGTACTTGCAGACCAGTTGTTGAGAACTCCTACCGGATCGACGAGTTCCGATTTTATTCTCAGAAGCCAGTAGGAGTCTGTTGAATTGTCTCCAAGAGCAATAGAGAGAAGAGGGACCAGTGGTGAGAAAAGTAGCATGATCAAATGTAACATATGAATGCCACCCATTTCTGATCTTATGATAAAAGATCAGTTTCAAGAAAAGTATTAGATACCCAAATCAAAAGATTCAGAGTGTCATTACTTGGTAAACTTGGTTTCATGTACAAATATTGGATAGAAAAAGAACAAGCAAAAGAAGCTCAAGTGAAACTATTTGATTGAATGGGAATTCAAGGAGGAAATTTCAGTGAGAGATGACACAGATTTGAAATGCTGAGATTGAATGGGAAGCTTGGAGTTTAAATAGTTTCATTAAGTGTAGGCTTGCCTAATCAGCTTGCATAGAAAGTCAATAATCTTAATTATTCATGCAGATTGATAAACCTTAAACCCCATATTTAACTTAAATATAAAATTGCTCTCTCTTTTCACCTTCTTTTCAACCGCAAATTCTTATTTTTTGTTTTCAACCGGAAATTCTTATTTTTCGTTTGCAATATAGTAAATTCTTTTCAACCTTTTTTATTTATTTTTTGTTTGTTCATTTTGTCTTTTTTTTACATTAGATTAGATGATCTTTTAACTGTATCAGTTCTCATGATGCAGATGAGATTTAAGTTACGATTTTATATAATGGAAAGCATTCGAATACACACTCAGTACATTGAATACAGTTCATTCCGATACCGAAGATTCGTTTTACAATCCAACTACCCCACCTGTTTAGTTCTTGCTAAAAGGTTGGATATTTTTTCTTGTTTTTCTGTCAAGACAATCATAAAATTCTGGAGCATGTTCTGGTAGCTTTAGAGATGGTGAAGTGTATAAAGATAAGATGGTGTGATGGGTATTTCTGAAAAACGGGACAAGAATGGCATGGGAGAGTCCCACTTGTGCTTGATGGTAACTTCAGGAAAGTGGGCCCATCTCTAAGGCTATATACTTTGGTGTTATGTATAGGTTAACTCCCTAGTGTTGCTATATAATACTACTATTCCAATTGGGTATGAAGATCCGTGGAATCTATTCCAATAGATTAGATAGGATTTGACTTTTAAGAGTTGTGGTCAAATTAACTTCAACAATTGTCAACTAAACCGGTACAAACCCATTATCTTATTGAGGAGGTTATAGAATATGCACCACAAGACCATCATGGATGATCATTAGCACAACCTACCATCTGCTTTGCCGAGTGAAGATAGACATCTAGTAAGTGTCGCATTGTCAGACTGATTGAAATGTTTTTTTAGTGTCTGAAAACACGTGTTCGAGTCTTATACTCTTTTTTTTTCTTTTTTTTTTTTCTTATAACAATTGACCACTAATATTTTTGTCTTCAAACAAAAATTGATAAAAGTTCTTGATCAGTTTTTTTTATCGACTGATGTAATTATTGTTCTTTAACATTTATAAGAGTTTTGTTGGGCACTATTTATTGGAGTCCGCATAAAAAAAAATTAATTTCCTAAATTTTTTTTATCGGCTTGTTATATTTCTTGATAAGAATTGCAAGAGTGTTACTGATACTGATTCATTTGCTCATACCACTCTTTCAACAGAAATATTTTGAACTCTGATTGAAGATGCAAGAAATACATCATTCTTTCTCTTTCTAAAATTCTTACACTTCAATAGAATCAAAAATCCCCCTTCTTATCCACCCGTAATGGTCTATTTATAGACCAGTACATATATTCTCACTAACTGATTACATTGGGCCTCTATTCAAGCGTTTTCTTCCTTTTGGGCCTGACTTTCCAATGGGCTTGATCTTCCTCAGTGGATCCTCCAAGTTCGGCTCATTCCGTGGTACTTTTGCATGGGCCATACTTCAATTGTTCGACCCGATCCCATGCCAGCGAGCTATAACCAGCCCATGCCACTTACTGCATCCTCAACTGCCCCCATAATTACTCCCTATTGATTAGGGGATAATTATTAGAGGCTGCTAATCATGACCTGACGGCTCGAGAAGATCGCGTGGGAGAATGGACGGTTAGATTTGGGGGTCAGCGTTTTGAGATTAAAAAAACTCCTCGCTTTCCTGACTCCTCGTCCCTCGGGTCCACCTTGTCTTTATAAGCCTCATAGATGTTCCATCGATTCTCTTTACCGTCTCCATCTCACTTTTTGTTGTTCGAATCTTCTTCGACGATTTTTTGCAAAAGATCCTCCTTCCAGCGACCTCGCAGTACTCTTTGCTGTTCTCACTTTCTGAGGTTAGTTTCATTTGCATTTTTCTTTTGGAAGACCTCTCTCTCTTCCTTAAAATCTTCATTCATTCTCACCATGACTGTAGATCTAGATGTTCTTCGCATGAAACTTCACCTCCCTGACGATGTACAAATTAGAAATGGCCCCAGAGAGGTGAATATTAGAACCGGTGCTGGCTTTCTTCCCAGCGAGGTTCTGTTTTCACTCCTTCATCTTAATCTCCTTAGGTTCCCCTTGCATCCCTTCTTTTGCTATGTTTTCAACAAACTAAAACTCTCCCCTCTGCAAGTAAACCCAAATTTCCTTAGGATTTTGTTTGTTATGCTACTTCTGATCCGTAACAGAGGTCTAGATCTGGACCTCATAGATCTTCTCCTCTGTTACAAGGTTAGCAAGATCAGAACTGATGAACCGTTTTACCACTTTTTCCTCATTGAGAGGAGGTCTATCTGCACAGATAAAATCAAATCCGAGAAGGGTTGGAGGAAAAATATAATTGGGGTTAGGGGAGCCTGGTTCCCTCCAGCTGCGGAGGATTTCCCTATCCCGAGCGCTTTTGGAGAGTGCTCCGTCTCTTCTTACAAGAAATACAAAACCCATAAGAGTGACTGTCCTTGCGAGATTTGCATTCCCCGTTTTTGTACTTTCTTGTGCCGTTCCTTAGGCATTCATTGTGATGATTTGAGCTACGGTGTGTGCAGGGATAGGGATAACTACCTGAAGCAGTACGTTCTGACCAATGTTCCCTCCTGCTCGGACCTCCTCACTTCAGACAACCTCCTCGCTCTCTCAGCCCTCGGCAAGATAATGAGTCAACTCCAGATCCCTTCCTTCGGTAGGAAGAAAACTGCCCCCAGGCCTGTTATCACCCATGCAGCAAATTTTTCACCAACTTCAGCATCTTCCTCTGCTACCCTTTCTGATACCACTCCTTCCACCGATCCAACCGTGACAGCTACTGACCCGGTCGCTAACACAGCGACAGCCAGTCCGAACGTGACCCCCTCTGTCAGCAATCTTCCTGGCTCTACTACTGCTTCCGCACAGGAAAAGGCAAGAGGAAAAAGGCACCAGCCTGATAGTGCCCTCAATGTTGATGATGTTCCTTCGTCACAGAGGGTCAGGTCCTCTGGGCCGAATGTGATATCTCTAGCAAGGCCCCCTCAGACTAGGCCCCCTACCCCTTCTGGGCATGCCTCCGCTTCAGGAACGACACCATGGAACCCTCACTTCATTCTAACAGACGGATCGTCTGTAAAATCGAACGAGACCATGTTCAAGGATGGTCAGACCGATATGGCATACTACAGGATCATGTGGACTCCCAAGGACATTGAGGTAGCCAAGGGTCTGTCTCAGAGGGAAGTGTTCAGCCGATTTCCCTTATCTGCCATGGAGGTAACTTCTGCCTCTTAGTCAATAAGTCTTTATACAGTCTTTACACTTAGTTTCTTCTAACCATCTGCTCGGCTTAACCAGTTGTCCTGTATATCTCTACAGACCCTGTACGGGATGATGGCTATGCAGGTTGAGCTTGTGAACGCCAAGGTTCGTGTGGTCTCTGACAGCCTTAATGCAGCGAACAAGGAGAATGATGCTTTGGCTGCTCAGAAGACCGGGTTGATGGTTCAGCTTGGTAAGGTTGAAAAGGAGAGGGACTCGCTGAGGAAGGAAACTGACTCTCTTCAGGATGAGAGGAATGCATTGCAGCTCGAAAAGAGCGTCTGGCATACCGAGCGGAAATCCCTTAAGGCTGAAAAAGAAGAACTGCTACGCCTTCTGAGTGATGAGCAATCCGCTCGAATGGCCTTTGAGAAAAGGGCTTTGGACGAGCGCAATGCTTTACTCGAAACCATTAGTAAGGTAAATGGTGGTATGCTAGCTCTGCATGCTCGGTTTTCTAGAGTTGGAGCCCTCAGATATGCTCAGGGGTTCCGAGAGGGTTATGCCGATCATGTTCCGGATGAGGGTTAGACTGGTTCTACCCCTAATGATGTTGACAAGGAACTGGAGATTGACTCTCCGGGTACTTATGCCGATCCAGACTCCATCGCTGCTGAGGGCATATTTGATGAGTGCCAAGAGATTGCCTCTTCCCGGATCACTCCCACTCCTTCTGCTGCTCTGACTTTGGACATTCTTCCTCTGTCCACCGTGACTCCATCTGTTACTACTGCTGAAGATAACCCTCAGCGGAATGATTCTTCCAACACTATTGAGGGTAGGACTCAACAGAACGATTCTGTCATTTACCTCGACTCTCCTCCTCGTGAGGATGGTGATACCAACAATAATGAGGAGACCGTCCAGCACCATCAAGAGGCTGACGAGGCAAACGCTTCTTAGTTAGAACTTTTTTGATGTATTGACTTTCATTCTTTTGTATTTTTGCCCTCTGTATACCTTATCGTTTTTGTAACTCTTTAAACTTTATTATTAATGAGATGGCCGACTTCTGATCAAACTCTTTTTGTAAATTCTTTGTTTCAACGATCTGATCTGATTCTTTCCTATTTGTCAGTGGTTGGCTTTCAGCTAATTTTTTGACGTTTGGCTCATAATGCCAGCTGCAGCTTATTTTGCTGACTGGTTGGCGCTTGGGTAGAACGCCACTTACCACTTTCATTCTTTTACTTCTTTTGGCAAGTTTTTGGCGTTCGGCTAATAGTGCCAGCTGCCACTTACTTTGCTTAGGTGCCTGACGCTCGGCTAGAATGCCACTTGCCACTTGGCCTTTTATTTCTTAGCAAGTGTTTGGCGTTGGACTCATAGTGCCATGCGATACCCCTCAGATCCGAGACACGGGTTGATCAGGCCCAGGCCCAAACCCGAGGGAATATCAAACAATTAAAGTATTTTAAAATGAACGTAGATGATCAAAAGAAACAATAAAGATAGAATAAAGCTGAAAGAAATAATAATAATAAAACCCTCTATGTATAACTGAAAAATGAAACTCCAATCCTCCAAAACTTCAAGGTTACAACTTGGGAATCCACTGGTGGACCCCTAATCAAAAGTTCAACTGAAACTGAAAACTGAAAATAGATAATGCTAGAAACATCGAGAGAAGTCCTACGTAATCAGATGAATGTGAGACTGTCCTC